ATTTTTTCTTCTTCTTCTTCTTCCTTTTCTCTCGATTTCTTTTCTCTTTAATTTTGTACATGTAAATAGATTTCTTTTTTCGTTATCTTTTTTTCTGGGTGAAAGATATTTTTATCGGGGGTGGGGGGAGAAAAAATAACAGCAGAACCTTTTTGACATGACTCGGGATGTTTTCTTGAACAATTCGTTTTAGATTTCCTTCTCGGATTGTTTTTCGTTAATCCTGTCATTAATTATTTTCTTTTCTCTAGCTTTCGTCTTTAGTTCTCTCTTTTCGTCTTTCTTTCTCTTTACTTCTGCTCCTTTCTTCTTTCTTTCTTTCTTTCTTTCTTAATTTTTTTCTCGCGTTCTTTTTCTCTATCATTTTTCTTTCTTCCTTCCCTTCTTACGTATTTCATTTTCTTTCTCCATCTCTTCTTTCCATTTCTTTCTTTCCATTTCTTTCTTTCTTTCTTTCTCGTTCCTATCTCTTTCTTATCCTTTATTGTCTTTTTTCTCGCTCTTCATTTCCTGTTCTTTCTTTCTTTCCTTCTCATATTTTTTCTTACTTTGTTTCCTTCATATTTATTTCATTTTCTTTTTCCCTCCCTTCTTTCTCTCTTTCTGCCTTTCTTTTTTCTTTCTATTTAATTCATATTGTTTCTTGTATTTTCCTCTCTCTTTTTATTTTCCTGTTCTTTCTTTCTTTCTTTCTTTCGTTCACTCTTCCTCCCTTCCTTTCTTTCTCGCGCTTTTTTTTCTATTTTTCTTTACTTCATTTCCTTATAACTTATTTCATTTTCCTCATCGCTCTCTTCTTTCTTTCTTTCCTTCTTTCTTACTTTCTGTTTTCTTTGTTTCTTACTTTCTTTCTTGCTCCTAGTTTTTCCTCTTTTTGTCTTTTTTCTCGCTCACTTTATTGGCCCTTTTCTTTCTTTCTCGCACTCTTCTTTTTTTTTTATTTCTTCTTCCTTTACTTATTACTTATTTCATTTTGTTCCACCCTGTCTTCTTTCTTTCTTTCTTTCTTTCTTTCTGTCTTTCTCGCACTCTTTTCTTTATTTTTTCGTTTTTGTCCTTTCCTTTTTACTTATTTCATCTTTTTCCTCGCTCTCTTTCCGTTTTTTCTTTCTTTTCTTTCTTTCTTGTCTTTTTTTCTCGCTCTCTTCACATTTTTCTTTCCTTCTTTTTTCTTTTTTTTCCTATGCACAAACATACACTCTCTCCTTTCATTTTATTTCTCCATCTCTTTCTCTCTCTCTTCGTCATCCATTTCGTTTTTCATCGTCTTCTTTCTTTTTATTCATTCAGTTTCAATCTATGTCTTTCTTTTTCTTTTTCTTTTAATTTCCTCCATTCTTTTACGTTTTCTTCTGTTCCCCCTTTTTACGACTTATTCCATTTTTATCAGTTTCTATTTCTTTTCTTTCCTTTCTTTTCTTTTCTTTATCACAAATTAATATTCTTGTTTTTGTTTTCCTCTTTCATTTTTAAACATATTTATTTTCATTCTTCTGTTCGTACATTATATATCTTATTGTTTTAAATCCGATTTATTCATCTCCCTCTTTAGTAAGTGCTAAACACTTCACATACCACAGTATATGGATCGGCTGTTACAAATTAAGTAGAGAAAAAAAGATGTTGAACATAGAACAGGCTGTATCTGTCTAAGATGAGGTATTGTAACTATTTACACTATTTACATTGTTCGGACTGTCGTCCTCATCTTTTTTGCTATATTCACAACGTTTCGACCATTGTACGCTTCGGTCATCTTCAGGATCTCTCTATAATTTCTGAGATGACGTATTGTAATTATTTACGCTATTTACATTGTTCGGACTGCCGTTCACATCTTTATTACCATACTAGCAGTAGAGCCCGGCGTTGCCCGGGGATGTAACAGTAAGAGATAGATCAAATATCGACCATCATAAAGACTGAAAAATAAAATTCACAAAGATTATTGTTTAAGGTTGACGGACACGCATGTCTTAATTAGTTTTTTTTTTTGTTTTTGTTCTTCTTACGAATTTGTCAAACCCAAACTCAAACAAAAACATTTTTTCAATCGTTATGAGTCTACCGATTGAATAGAATTTTATTATAAACAATTGCCTTGTAAATGGAATTTTTAAAGCATTCTGAATGTAAAAATAAAGAAAAAAGTGTGCAAGACAATAAGAAACACTACCTGCCAAAAAAAATGAAGTTTTGTTGAAATCGGTTGAAAAATGTAGGAAATCCGATCCCATATATAAACGAACACAGACACACACACACAAACAACCTGTGTTTTGTAATAAGTATAACTCGATATGAGTTGTCTCCCTTTCATTCTGGCGATAGTGATGCCTCTTAACCGTGTTTTCAAATCGATTTCGTGCAAAAACAATTGTGTTTTTCCAATTTTTGGCGCTCTCAGAACCACCGCAGGGTAATTTTACGTAGTCCTGTGAAGTTTTGTTGAAATCGGTTGAAAAATGTAGGAAATCCGATCCAATATATAAACGAACAGACACACACACACACAACCTGGGTTTTATAATAAGTATGATTCACGTTTCAGCCGTTGTACGCTCCGGCCTTCTTCAGGATCCGTCTATAATTTCTGAGATGAGGTATTGTAATTATTTACGCTATTTACATTGTTCGGACTGCCGTCCTCACCTGAATTGCCATATTCACGTTTCAGCCGTTGTACGCTCCAGCCTTCTTCAAGATCTGTCAATAATTTCTGAGATGACGTATTGTAATTATTTACATTATTTACATTGTTCGGACTGTCCACCTCATCTTTATTGTCATATTCACGACGTTTCGGCCGTTGTACGTTCCGGCCTACTTCAGGTTCTGTCTATATTTCTGAGATGAGTTATTGTAATTATTTACATTATTCTCATTGTTTGGACTGTTGTCCTCATCTTTATTGTCTCAAAAATTCACTAATATCCTCAAGGACACATGGATAACAGCGTTGGTTGGATCCAGTGATTTGACCCAAAGAGTTGTGAGTTCAATACCTCGCTTCGAGGGTTGTAAAAGGGAGATAACTGAGGCATCCGGAAGAGCCATGTCACGTGGAACTAGAAAAATTTACCCCGGAGGACGAAATAAAGGGTTCAGTTCGAAATTCCAATCACCTGAAAAAGGCTGAAGCGTACAACGACTGAAAGGCCGTGAACATGACAATAAAGATGACAGTCCGAACAATATAAATAATGTAGAACTGGCTGTGTCAGACATAGTTTCGCTCAACACCAGCAAATTGCTACGAAACGAAAACATCAATCTGAAAACTTGAGCCATATTCTTTAATAGCCTCGTCAGATCGAGGCTTTTACATGGCGCCAACCCCGTTCAGAAATATCTAAAATGTCGGCTGTATACAACCGCTTTCTCAGATCAATGGTTAAAATGGCTTCGAACGAAAGGAATGTGTAGGTCTCAGGGAAGATCACCCCTCTTTGAACCTCGGGGGGTATGCTGTAGGATCACTACCAAATAACAGAGACCACATCACTTGAGGACTACCAACAGGAGCAACAACTAAAATAGATAGCACATGTAACTTAAATGTTGATGTTCTACACCAGAAGAAAGAATGATAAAACCGTCTGGACTTGAGAAACCTTTTTTCCCCCAAAAAAATTGTTTTAAGTGAAAGATTTTATAAATTTCAACCGGGATCAGTACTGGCTGCTCAGTCAGTGAAACCCAAATGTTTCCTTATAGGGAAACGGCTAATATTACCCTTACCATTCCGCCATTCAATTTTAACATTTTCTCTTTCTTTCTTTTTTTCTTTTGTTTTCTTTCAAGTCCGTTCTATTACCCTTTCTTCCTTTCTTTCTCGTCACCGTACTTTTTAGGGTTTTTTTGCTTCTTTCTTTCTTGTCTTCTTTTTTTTTTTTTTGCCTCTTTCTTTCTCGTCTTTGGGTTTTTTTTTGGTTTTTTTTGGGTTTTTTTTTTTTTTTCGTTTTTTTTTTTTCCTTTTTCTTTCTCGTCTCCATTCTTTTAGTTTTTTCCCCTGCTTTCTTTCTCGTCTCCATTCTTTTCGTTCCCCTCCTTCTTTCTCGTCTCCGTTGTTTTCGTTTATTTATTTATTTATTTATTTTTTCTTTTGTTCTTTTTCTTTAACTCCTTAACGTCTTATTTTTATTTATCTATTTTCGGTGCACATTTCATTTGTGTTATTCGATGGATACTTTTTTTCTTCGTTATAAATATTTTTCGTTACTTTTTCTTTCCTTCTTCCAAAAACCTTTTAAATTTGTTTTTCTTTTCTTATTTGCATTTTTCGACAGCCGCCATTTTCTTTCTTTTGAATTTTTCCCCATTGCCTACCAATTCTTTATTTTTTAGGAATTCATGTCTGTTTTTCACACATTCTCCACTTACTTTTTTATTTCCTTCATTAATTCTTTGTTATCGTTTCGTTTCTCCTTCCGTATATTCTTCCGTCATTCACATTTCTTCCATCCCCCGCTCTCTCTCTCTCTTTCATTATTTTTACTCTGTTTTTTTTTTTTTTTTTTTCCCGCCAAATTTTTGCATTCTCGTCTGCCTCATCCGGAAGTTTTCGGGGTTTTTTTTGTTTTTGTTTTTTCCTTTATTTGATTTTTACTTTCCCTTTTGACTTCCTTCCATCTGTTTATTTATTCTTCATGAATTTGCCAGAAAGTATGCATTTTTTTTTTCTTTCAACAGAAGCAAGCTGTGCAGCATACAATTTTGTTCCTTTTTTTATACCCCAAATATTTCGAGTGTGTATTTTGGAGCATATAGAAATCCTTCAGAATATACTTTGTGAAAAAAAAAAAAAAAACAGGTGCTCTGGAAATCATAGCCTATCTCTCTATCATTCACTCTCTCTCTCTCTTTACACACACACACACACACACATATATATATATATATATATATATTTAAGTAACGAAAATCTTGGTAATCCGTATAGATAAGCCAAAGGAGGATGAAATCCTGAGAGCTCAATGTTAAGTCAGAGCGAATAATTTAATTTAAAAGAAAAACAGACCACTTTAAATCTCCGTAGTAATAATTTATTTCACCAGAGGATTTTACTTTTTCTCTGGATCTATAAAATATAAAGATAAATTTTAAACTCTCCCTTCCCTCTCTAAACTCGACCATGTCTCTCACACCATTACTCATCACCCTCTAATTCAACTTATATAAGCTCAATACTGCCTGTCAAAAGTGTAAATTTTAAATTCATTTTTTCGTTTCGTCTTTGAAAGTAAAGTCTGAGGATCCAGAGAAAAAAGTAAAACTATGGAGCCTTAAAGTGGTCTTTTTTTCTTTTAATTATTATATATATATATATATATATATATATATATATATATATATACAAGTATATGATTGGTGTATTTGGAATAAATTCCAATAACCAACAATTACTATTCTTAAAAGAGTGCTCAACACAGAGTAGAGCAAATATACATATTTATTTAAAAATTATAACATAAATATGTTATAAAATCACTACAAAAATAGCCATTTTGTTTCAACACCTCGGGTGTCTTATCAAGTGACGATGTTGAATGTAGATTGTAGGGTAAGGTTTCAAAAGGTTGAAATTAATTAACCACTCCTCGTATGGGGAAACGCTGTTACATGAGCTGAAATGACCAATCAAAATACATTTATACATTGTATTTTGATTGGTCATTTCAGCTCATATGACAGCGTTTCCTCTTACGAGGGGTTGTTAAAATATATATATATATATATATATATATATATATATATATATATGATTAATACAAATAAAATTGATCACTTAGCTGATGTTATATTCAGTAAGACAACTTCGTAGATGAACCTTCTGTAGTTTTTCAATGCATATTTTTAGGAGGTTTCAGCAATTTACTGCCGTTTTTCTCATAATGCTTTGTCTTTATACTAAGTTATACATGCACAGAACGGGGTTCGTTGGTACGGTTGGTATTACGTTTGTGTCATATCATAACGGTCCGGGTTCGATTCTCGGTAGTGAACTCGCACTGCCGATGAGTCTCAAATATAGGGCGAAAGGGCCGTCCACATTAAATCCAACCTTGTGTCACATCTCTTCGCCGTGGTGAGACGGATAAAAGCATATATATATATATATATATATATATATATATATATATAGTGTCATTTGTTATCTTCTGTCTTCTTAATTCTTGTTCTTTTATTGTTCTCGCTCCTTAATAGTGTTTATATATATATATATATATATATATATATATATATATATATATATATATATATATATATATATATATACAAGAATAGTGATATATTGTAAGAGCCTGGACGCAAATTTATTGTGCCTGAACTAACGAGCAAGAAGCTTAAACCAGAGACTATATGAACACAAAAGGGATATTTTAAATAACAACACAAAAACTCATTGATTGTTCACCGTAACAAAACGGACCACAGATTTGACCCAGGGAATGCTACTTTCATTAAAAGGGAAAATAATCTACTATGACAAAAGTGTCTTGATCGCTAGTTCAGCCACAATACATTTGCATACAAACACTTACAAATACACACACACACACATAGAGAATATATATATATATATATATTCTCTATAGATAGATAGATATGAACACACTGTAAAAGATAGATAGATAAATAGATAGATAGATAGATAGATAGATAGATAGATAGATAGATATGAACAGACTGAGATTGATAGATATGAACAGACTGGTACAGATAGATAGATAGATAGATAGATAGATAGATAGATAGATAGATAGATAGATAGATATGAAGAGTGTGAAATAGATATATAAAGATAAAGATAAGAAAAGAAAGATTAACAAATTTAAGCTTTTTTAATGAAATTTTTTACATAAATAAAATAAATTATATAAACACCAATTTGGTTAATTACCATTTAATTTAATTTATTAATTTGTTCATCTCTTGACGTGGAGCTTGGCCATCAATAATCTTTTCTTTTGGGGGGGGGGCATTAACACATTCATTTTCCCCTTCTTCATTCGTGTCGGCCAAATCATTATTGACTGAAACAATTTAAGTAACTCGATTTTATTTTTAGGGGTCAAAGATTCAAAAAGATGGAAGCCATCTTGTCTGTTTCGATTCATCCAAATTTAACTGGCATTTTCATGTTTTATGACAATTGAAATTTTACAGTTCCTGAAAAAAAAAATTGAAATTAATGATCAACATTTGCCTCAAGAAAAAACTAAACGAAAAAGAAAATTGAAAAAAATAAACGAAAAGAAAATTGAAAAAAATAAAAGATATTTTCAAATGGAAGGAAGCTTTGTAGAACTACTTTTTTTCTTTTTATATATATATTCTTTTTTTAGTTTTATTTTTTATTTTGTTTGAGTTTTGTTTTCTTTGATTTTTTTTCTCCCATCTTTTAGATCGAGTCATAAATAATTTCCGTTTCTTCTCGTCAATTTTCTTCTTCCAAACGTTGCAATTGTTTCCTGTCTAACGAAAATGACTTATGACTCAGCGTAAAGAAGCCTAATGAGATGGAGGTAGCGTAATGACTCCTGGCGCGAAAATGGAACTGGCGAGACGCGGTCGGAATTCACCTTCGCACTGACAAAATTAGCTATGGAATGAATCTTCTCTCCTCGAACCCTCAGCTATCGATTAAACAGCAAAGATAGACTGCGCTCTCTAGGTTTGGTTAGCAACCGGCCTGGTAGAAGATTCCGGTTCTTTCTAAAGTCAAAACTCTATACATCTAACGTCTCCGCTTAAACTCTGTTATTTTAGTTGCTACTTATTTACTTTGTTACGCTTCAATAGGAGTAGATAAATTTGCCTGTCGTCCGGTTCACACTCCTCTCCGGTCTTGGAGAGTAGAGAGCAGGAGTAGAGGTTTATCCCATGATTCCTGTTTAGGATTGGGTGTCCGGTTAAATCTAAAATCTTCTTCAAGTCTACACATCTGACGTCTCTGCCTAAAGCTCTGAAATATTATTCACTATTTTTTTTAATTGTTATTTTTTCCTAGATACGATCGTCTATCGCCCTGTTCACACTCCTCCCTGGTATTTTTAACAGGAGTAAATGTTTATCCCTTGTTTCTTGTTCAGGAATTGGTTTCTAGTCCCTTCTAAAGTATTTTCCTTCTCTTTTACTTCCACTAACCTGCTTACGTCTTAGTGACGTTATCGCCTTATGGTGAATTGATTAATATATATATATATATATATATATATATATATATATATATATATATATACACACACACACACACACACACATACAAAGTGTATGTACATATATATATATATAAGCAAATATGTGGATATAGATCGTCTAATTTTAATTATGTTTTAATAACTGTCCTGAAGAAGATCTACTAGACCGAAACGTTTGACGTCGACATTGAAACAACATTAAAACAGCATACTTGCATATTCGGATTTTGCTTTTCCATATTTTTTTCTTCATATATATATATATATATATATATATATATATATATATATAGAGAGAGAGAGAGAAAGTGTATATATATAGAAAGTGTGTATATATATATATATATTTATATATATATATATGTATGCATGTACAGCACTTTTCCATTGCACTGTTATTCTTGCATTCGTACCAAAATAATGTCTTCTGAAAAGAAAAATATGTTTTACGATACTGATGAAGTCAAATGTAATCAGCAGTTCAGACAACTTTCTTAACTGATATCATTTTTTATGTAACCGTAAACTATGTTCATCTGCTTTTTTGAGTTAGAATAACTGATTACAAATTTTTTTATCACTGTCATAACTGACATTGGATATATAATTGTTATATAGGAATGAAGTGTCTCTGTCGACACTTGAGTTTGAACATAGCTCGCCAGTGAGCAAACATAGGCGATCCCATTTTTGAATTAAGTAGACCACGCGACCATAGAGGAAACGCATATATGTAGGAAGTAGCTGACGACGAACGATCGCTATTTCTAGCTTATCATCTATTACTATTTGGATCTGCATTTCTAGTCTATCCTCTATTACTATTTGGATCGCTATTCTCTACTCTATTCACTATACTACTTCTATATTCGGATTACTATACGGATTAATATTTGAGCGAGTATTATCGAGCAAGTACTATTAGTGCGAGAGTTATTCGAAGGTGTCTAACACCAGTATTGTTCAACGGCGTTACTATAGTTATATCTGCTATTACAAAGTCTCTACTACAACGAGCATTACGAAAGTGACAACGAGTATTCGTTGATATAACAAAAATTATGCAGTTTTTAGCTCATTCACATTGAGTTATTGGGACAACGTTTATTTTTATTTATTTATTTATTTGTATTTTTTGTTTTTACCCCCATTTCAGCCAGTCTGCTCTTTGGCCTTCTCAGGTTTATAATCAGTAGGCGAAGATGCTTGGGTATTTACTCTCAAGTAACACATATAGATTTTGAATATGGTCATAGTGTAGCGGTTATCATCGTGGAAAAAATAGGACCGGAGTTCAAATTCTAGCCAGGGCCGTTGTGATGGCTTCCACACAAGTACGCGTGGAAATGTTTGAATCCGACCCCACCCCTCACACACTCCACTGTTGGATTTTCTTGCTTTGGTTGGCAATCAGTCTAGGAGAAGAACAGTGTTGAATTCAAAAGTGGTTGTGAATGGTACGGGAAACTCTACCCTATAAAAATCTATTTTCTATAACACTTAGTGTAGTGAGGCTGTGGCTCTAGACTCAAACACGGAAGTCTACAAAAGTAGGAAGCAACACTTGCTATTTCACTCATTAAAATTAGATTTTCTCATTCCTTCTGAAATTGATCCCTGTCAAGGGCGACAATGTGCGTGAAAAGCTTTTTGCTGCTATTGAAAGGCTGTGTACTGGGACAGTAATTTGATCTAGTGCTGTCTCACCCACCTGCTTCTCAGTCATTGTGACAGGATTATGTCACGATATCCTAGATTGGACTGAGCACAGGGATATGTTGTTTCATGCCTTTCCTGTGATGTAAACAGTCTTGACGAGATTTGGTCCCCGGACTCTGTTTTTTTTCCGTATTACAGGTATTCAAACAGCAGAGAAGTAAGGTATATCGACAAGGAAAAATAGCTTGCTAATCACTGAGCCGTTGTTAGTCGAACAGCCATGTATGACATAAGGCTACAAGTGAGGGAAATTCAGTCAAGATCAAGTGCACAACTTGTTTTAATGGACTGATAAAAGCAGATACTAACCATTGCTTTAGGATAAAGTGTCTAGATTTGTGTTTAGGGCACTCAATGAGGATCAAACTTACTATGATAGTAAAATGCTCTTCAAAGCTATTTGCAACAATTTAATCACGGCAAGCAAGGGACAAGTTTATATGACAGAAAGATACAAATGTGGGACATCCAGGAAGATAGATTGATAGAAGACAGATAATTAACAAACTTTGTTGTTATTATTGCTTTTCTCTAGCACTCCGCATTACTGGAAAGTTAAGTTAAAGGGAGATAACTGAAATATCCGGAAGAGACATGGCACGTGGAATTAGAACAATCTATCCAGGTGGACGAAATTAAAGAATTCAGTTCGAAATTCCTATCACCTGAAGAAGGGGGGAGCGTACAACGACCGAAACGTCATGAACATGACAATAAAGATGAGACCGACAATCCGAACAATGTAAATAATTACAATACCTCATCGCAAAAATATAGACAGATCCTGATGAAGGCCGGAGCGTACAACGACCGAAACGTCATGAACATGACAATAAAGATGAGACCGACAATCCGAACAATGTAAATAATTACAATACCTCATCGCAAAAATATAGACAGATCCTGATGAAGGCCGGAGCGTACAACGACCGAAACGTCGTGAACATGACAATAAAGATGAGGACAACAGTTCGAACAATGTAAATAATGTAAATAATTACAATACCTCATCGCAAAAATATAAGCAGATCCTGAAGAAGGCCGGAGCGTACAACGACCGAAACGTCGTGAACATGACAATAAAGAAGAGGACAACAGTCCGGATATTATAAATAATGTAAAGTAAATATTTATGTTATTCGCATTTCCGCATATTAGTTTTTTCTTTATATCAAGAACTGCGAATTTAGGACCACCCAGAATGTATTTCTATTACATTCCAACTGTCAAACATTTGTATATTTACTAGCATACATATGTTCAGTCAGTCAGTATACATCACCCTGCAAATACCCTACACCCTAAGTCATTTACGGCCCTTGTAAATGCTTCACAGTATAACTTCATTGCAATCTTCATTTTCTCTAAATATTCAACAAAAGTGATTAGTTTGTTGTTCTTTTCTCCTTTTTTATGTTAGCACTTTAGAGAGCTCGGATCAAACAGTGTCAAATCTTTAGAACGCTACTGTTAGCGCTTCCGACGGGTTTGGATGAAAACAATTAGGGACCCATTGTTATAGAGAACATTTACGGCCCACAGCACCTGTTCGCGAGTAACTTAATTAAAATTAAAAGAACAGGGATTTAGAAATACATTATTAAAGAAAAAAAAATGGCGCCGAGATTCCAGCATCTATCAATGGCGACCGCTAAAACAGATGTAGCGTTCAAAGAAGAATATTTTTAATAATAACGAGGTCGGTACCCTCTGACCGGGGGGTTTTGAGGAACTTAGAACCACCTCTTAATTGCTGTCATTCCCAAGTCCACTCTGATGCAGGGTGGTAGCACCTGTTAGGGGGTCAAAACTGCGGTCAAAACATGAAAACATATTAGGAAAAAAATTACCGGCAATACATTTTCATAGTATTCGGTTGGTGCATAATTATCAGGCGTTTTGGTAAGCGATTTATTTTTTAATAAAAATTGCAGTTTTATTTACTTTTTGTTAATATAAATACTATTTTATTTTTAGGTTATAAAAATGCGTGTCGATAATCATACTCATTTAAAAACGTTATTATTGAATTGTTATGTTTCTTTTTTCATAATAAATACTATTTAAAAACGCCTGATAATTATGCACCAACACAATAGAAAAAAATTTTTTAAAAATTACCAGCAATACATTAAAAAAAAAATACCAAAGCTCACAAGAAATAAAATGTCGGCATTAAATGACCCATAACGTGTTGATATGCCGGGAAACAAACCAAACCAAACCAAAAACCTGACGTACCTTCGCTGATAACAAAATGATCACATTTCAAATCGAAAGTGTCTGTCCATTTAAAATGCATTTCTTAGAATATATATTAAGTTTAAATACAGAAGGGTTCTTTAAAATAACTTCAAAGGGCCACACATCTTGGTTTGTATTCTTTTTCTGTTACTCGGTGGTTGTTGCTAAACAAGATGAAAAATTAGCCTTTGCGTCACGGTGTTTACTCATTCCCCCACGAGAATGAGATGTGACACAAGGTCGGATTAATGTGGGGACCCGAGCGCGTACACTGGGGCAGGGACAAAAATTCCCCTCAGCCCCCGCAACCGTCGGTTCCGCTGGCCTCGGTGCAAGCACCGACCCCTCCCTCTTGTGCAATGGGAGGGCGCGGCCTCGGGCAGCTGTTCCCCAGGGCTGGGCACCTCTTCAGTATAATTTTCCTCAGTTGCCCCTCTGTCCTCAGACAGAGAAGCCCCTGAGCGCACTCTGTCCAAGGACAGAGACGCAACTGAGAGATGATAAATAATGCGAAATCCCTCCAAGGAGGGAATTTACACATTAGCCTTCGCGTCACACACGTTTATTTTTATTCCATTCAACTGGTCCATTCAATGCCATACAGAAGCACTGATATTACAAAACTTTCTTTTTTCCAATTTAAATACAGAAGCTATGAAAATGACTCCAAAGGGCCGTATATTTCGGTTTAAACTTTTTTCCTGTTGACCAGTGGTTGTTGCCAGACAGGAAAGCAAATTTAACCCTCGCGATCATTTTTATTTAACTTTTGTGTGTATGTAAATTTGCATGTGTGCATGTGTATTCTAATTCCAAAGACTGACCTAAGATATAACTAAAGATATAAAATATATCTACGTGTATTTTTTTTTAATTATAAAATATTTATTTATTGCGAAACAATTTCAGAAAAAAATGAATCCTTTTTTTTTTTTTTTTTTAACAATCTTGAACCTTCAAATGCCATAAACTCTAAAAGAAACAGAGTCTCAAAAAGACGGTTTTTCCATTGACACCGCTATTATTTTAACTACCTTCACTCCTCGGCATTCTTTATTATTTTAAAAAGCGATGATTAGAATTGGAATAAAACCTAAACATGAAAAAAGTATGTATTTTTTTTTGTTCTTGAGAATTTACAACAAAAAATATTAAGCACAAATTATTTATTGAGATTGTTTATTTACAAGAATAATTTTATATTTACAACATTCTAAAAATGAATACAATTAAAACTAATGCAATATTTATCATTTACAAATTTATAAAGAAATAAATGGGAAAACAATTTTTATTCATAAATTTATAAACATTTACTAAATTATTAAAATACGTGAACCAACTATAAAGAAAACCTTATTATTTACCATTTTATAAAGTTTGAATCGATTGGTAATTAGCCGATGTTTTGCAAATGATTCCGATAAATAATCTAATAAAGAAATAGTGTTTATTATATATTGTTGTAAAATCTCAAGAACAAAGAAAATGTATAAATTCATTTTCATATATTTAAGTTTTACTAAAATTCTTTTTAGAACAATAAACATTGCCAAGGGGTGATGGTAGTTAAAATAACAGCGGTGTCAAGAGAATAACCGTTCTTTTGACACTCCTTTTATTTTTTGTTTCTTTGCATTATTTAAATACTTTTTTCAATGTCATGATATTATTACTGGTTGTCCAATCTGTTACGAAGCGGGGGATGTTTTATTCCAAACTTAGTCAAATTATGTGCGTTCATGTGCTTTTGTGTACGTTAAATGGCACATGCACATGACGTACGCATATACGCTAAATTACGCGCATACAAAGGCACACACAGCCACCACCTGGCGGACAGAGAATGAGTTCGTCTTTTGTAATATAGCCCAGTATACGCGTTCCGTAAAAAATGGCGGCAATCGTTAGAAAGTTCTAATAGTGAGATGCAGTGAAAACAAAAGTTTTGCAACAATGTATTGAGATACAATAAAGCGGAGATAAAAAAAAAAATAATAATAATAAAATAGAGACTAATGAATAATTTTCCTTTATATTTTTTAGATATTCAATGGTATCTATGATTCATTAATTAATTTTTTATAAGCATTTCACCCAAAGCAAGGGGCGGGATTGCTACTAGTACGCAAGGAGTTACAGAGAGTGAGAGAAAAAAAATTGGGTATAAGTTTGGGGGTGGGGGTGAGGAAAGTATGAAAAAAGGGCTCAAGGCATCAGAAAATGTCGATTGACATTACATTTAAATTTTTGAACATTATAGTTATCAAGGAAGCAAGTAAGAGGAAGGGAGTTTCACTGTCGGGAAGTGCGAGAAAAGATGCCTACCTAGTAGCACGCTTAAATTCATGCAGTCGGAACACCAGTGAAAATAGCTCTTCAGAGCACTTTCCATGAAAATGTTTGAAGAAAAGACAAAAGGGAATTAAATCATTTTTTGAGCAATATCTTTTTTTAGACATTCAATGCTATCTATGATTCATTTATTAATCGTTTTTTTACAAGCATTTCACGCCAAGGAAAGGGCGGGAGTGCCACTAGGACGCAAGGGATTAAAGAGAGTGAAAGTAAGAGAAAAGACTGGATATGGGGAGGGAGGGGGAAGTTGCAGAAAGGATAAAAAGTAGAACGGGGGTCAAAGTATCAGAAGATGACAACTGACATTACATAACTCTAATCTTCAAAAATTTAAACCAAGTAAGAGGAAGGGAGTTCCACTGTCGGGAAGTGCGAGAGAAGAAGACGTTGAAATAGAAGAGACGGTTTCATTTAACTGTTTCGACAGTAAAATGGTGGGATTGAGATGCCAACTTAGTAGCACACTTAAATCCATGCAGTCGAGGCAGCAATGAAAATAGCTCGTCAGATAATAAAAAAAAGTTTTATCGTCAAAATCTTTATGTTATTTCTTAAGAGAAAAAGACCAGAGTATTTTATTATATATATATATATATATATATATATATATATATATATACATATATATATATATATATATACTTTTTAGAACGCTCGAAATTTTGGTTAACAACTGCGTTTCTTTTGTGTTAGCCCGGTGGCCAAAGATTAGAACGCAGGAAATTTTAGCGTCTTTTTTGCGGTAAAACAAAAAAAAAAAAAAAAAAAGAACACGTTGATTTGGGAATCCTTGCAAAAATTAAATAATTGCCGGATTTTAATTAAACTTTCAGGACTTATTCACAAATGAATGAAATTATTTTAGAAATGCTTTTTTTTTTTTTAGAAAATTTTGGAATAAAAACATTTACTTAATTTTAAGAAATTTTGAGAAATTAAATTTTGTGCCACTTGATGTTTATATTAATTAAAAGCAAAACTGCTTAAATCATCAATTTTTTCTTCTTTCTTCTTTTTTTTTTTTTTGTGAAATAAGAACAACATATTAAATTAAAAGCCGAACTACTTAAATCATCATTTTTGTGAATGTATGTGTAACACCAGTTACCGAAAATATACTCTGAATCATAAAATAAAAAAAGCAATAAAACTAAGACATTATTTAATTAGAAAAGCTTTTAATTACTTTTATAAATGACATATATTATGGAGAAAAATTCTCTTAAGAAAAAAAATTCGATGAATAATGAATTTTTACAAGAATTGTTTTCATTTTTTTTTTTTTAATTATATTTTATAAAATTTAAAATCTTCTAAGTTTCTGCATTACTTGGTCCGATTAGGTAATATTGATATTAAGTAAAAACTATATTTACTAATCATAAATTAAAGAGCTTACTAAAATTCGGCGAATACTAATATTTTAACAAATAATTTTTAATTTCTTCTTTTTTTGTCTGTATAAACATGCTGATTTTTATATATACGAACGTCCATACGCGATATTATCAGAAAATAAATAGTAAAATTAAAGCCAAAGTAACTAAAATTCAATAAAGCATTAGATTACGGAGAATATTTTTCTAAATTTTTAAGATTACTCGATAGTTAAAAAATTATATTTAAAGGCGCTCACGTTGTATTCCTCAAGTATTTTTTTTTCAGATATGACCCTCGTAGAAAAACATTATATAAACTTCCGTCTGCCATTTCCAGCTGTCAACACCTAAAATAAACAGCTACCTCCTTGTTAAAAAAAATGTTTTTCTACGATATTTTAAACTTAAAGTAATATTTGTTTCAAAATCAGATTAATTATACTTTAAATCAGCTAATTTTCCTCAAACAGAGTTTCAGAAAAGTATATTTTATTTTTGAAAGATTTTTTTTAATAAAGAAAATTACATAGGGACGGCAGATGTCTAAAAATGGCACTAAAATCAGTGCCTGTCAGTGATTTCAAAATAAAAAAATTCTTGCAGTCAATTTAAAGTCAATTTATTAGTTTTTAAATACAGAAAAAACGTATTTTGATTATTGGAAATATTAAATTTAATCTATTAACTTGAAATTGAAACTAAAATAAAAGCATGAAGAAAGATTTTTCATATTTAAAAGTTCATTTTAAACTTTAAGTATCGCCAATATTTGGAAGTTCCTACGTAAAAATATGTAAATTTTGAAGAGTAATGTAATCTCGCATGCTTAAAGATTTCCATAGATGGGCCATAATTCTGTCTGGCCTTAAAACCTCTGTGCCTTTAGAGTCTTGTATGAATGATAGCGAGTATCTTTTTCTTTTTTTTTTTTCTTTTTAATCTGCCATTGTCTCCAGCCAATATCTGTGTACAATACACCAGTAGATAGTGGTGATAGTTTCAAGTGATACACAAAGTTCAGCATTTTAAGCAAGACAGTTTCCAGATGCCCATTTTTCTTGTCAATGGCGGTTCACTGCAAGATTATTAACTGCAGAATTATCGTATTCAATTTGCCAAATTTCTTTTCTTTTTTTTTTCTTTTTTGTCGGAGTTAGTAGTCGGAATGGGGAGGAGGAAATTGTGTAATTTTTATTGTCTTTTTTTCTGTGTTCTTTTGTGCATTTCAGACTATCAGTTCTCTTTCTTTTTCTTTCTCTCCCTATTCCTTCCTTTACTTTAACCTTTTCTTTTTTTTCCTGTTCATCCATTATTCCTTTCTTTACCGTTTTCTTTTTTTCCTTTTCTTTCTTCTATTCCGTTAATCTTTTCTTTGTTTCTTTTTCCTTTTTTTTTTTTTGAATTTCAGAATTCAACTCTCCAGATTTTTTTTCCTTCTTTGTTTTTCTACTCTTTTCTTTTTTTTTCTTTTTTTTTTTCGTCTTTTTTTTCGCTTGTTTTTATTCATTTTTCCCCTTAGATTCATTAAATAATATTTAGTGAATTTAAGGAAAGGAATTATTCAATTCTTTTTCAATTTCTTCTTTCTATTTTCTTTTTTTATTCATTATTTTTATTCATCTTTTTTTCATTATTTTTCTTCCTTCATTCTTTCTCCGCACCCGCCCCTATTTTCTCAAATGATGTGCAGAGAGTGTAACGGTTATCAGCGCAGAAAGTGAAATTGTCAAACTGAGTTCAAACTCCAGGCAAGTCTATTTCGGTTGACTTTAAAACAAATTCCCTTGTGGAAAAGGTATTAATTCCTCTATTCACTCCCCAGCTATGGCTTACATAGCAGGGTAGATTGAACTCTCTAACTTTGGGTGGCAACCAATCTATGAGAAGGAAAACAATGAATTCCAAACTGTGTAGAAGGCAACGGGAAGCCACTCTGCTATCTTTCCCGAGAAGACTTGGAAATTCATAAATAATAAAGAAAAAGAAGCTGTGGAGAGCCATGATCGTCTACTTCCCGAAAAGTCGTTATGAAGCTCGTTTTCGTATGGAACAAGGCAACAAGCAATGAGCACCAGTCAAACTCACTACAATAATATTGGTTGGCATGACGAGCGATGTCTCTGGTACGAGTTCCCCTTTTACTTCTTTCTTTTTTTCTTTTTATCATTCTCTTCATCATTTTTATTCTTTCTTTTCCTCTTCATTTTTCTTTCTTTTCTTTCTTTGTAATATTCATATTCAGTATATTTTTCTCTATTTCTTTTTTTGTTTCACTTTTCTTTTCTTTCTGTTTTTCCTTGTTTTCTTTTCTTTCTTTTCGTTCCTTTCCTTTTCTTTCCGTCTTTTGTTTTTTTATTTTCTTTTTCTTTCTTTTCTTTTTTTTCAGTCTTTGCTTTCTTTTCTTTTCTTTTCTTTCCTTTCTTTTCTTTCTGTCTTTTTTTTTTTTCTGTCTTTTCTTTTCTTTTCTTTTTTTCTTTTTTTCAGTCTTTGCTTTCTTTCTTTTCTTTCTTTCATTTCTTTTCTTTCTGTCTTTTCTTTTTTTTTGTCTTTTCTTTTTCTTTCTTTTCTTTTTTTTCAGTCTTTGCTTTCTTTTCTTTTCTTTCCTTTCTTTTCTTTCTGTCTTTTCTTTTTTCTGTCTTTTCTTTTTTCTTTTTTTCTTTTTTCAGTCTTTGCTTTCTTTTCTTTTCTTTTCTTTTCTTTTTTTCTTTCTGTCTTTTCTTTTTTTTTTTCTGTCTTTTCTTTTTTCTTTTTTTTTTTTTTTCAGTCTTTGCTTTCTTTTTTTTTCTTTCCTTTCTTTTCTTTCTGTCTTTTCTTTTTTTTTTCTTTTCTTTTTTTTTTCTTTCTTTTCTTTTTTTTCAGTCTTTGCTTTCTTTTCTTTTCTTTCCTTTCTTTTCTTTCTTTTTTTCTTTTTTCTGTCTTTTTTTTTTTTCTTTCTTTTCTTTTTTTTTTTCAGTCTTTGCTTTCTTTTCTTTTCTTTTCTTTCCTTTCTTTTCTTTCTGTTTTTCTTTTTTTTTCTGTCTTTTCTTTTTCTTTCTTTTCTTTTTTTTCAGTCTTTGCTTTCTTTTCTTTTCTTTTCTTTCCTTTCTTTTCTTTCTGTCTTTTCTTTTTTTTCTGTCTTTTCTTTTTCTTTCTTTTCTTTTTTTTCAGTCTTTGCTTTCTTTTCTTTTCTTTTCTTTCCTTTCTTTTCTTTCTGTCTTTTCTTTTTTTTCTGTCTTTTCTTTTTCTTTCTTTTCTTTTTTTTCAGTCTTTGCTTTCTTTTCTTTTCTTTTCTTTCCTTTCTTTTCTTTCTGTCTTTTCCTTTTTTTCTGTCTTTTCTTTTTCTTTCTTTTCTTTCCTTTCTTTTCTTTCTGTCTTTTCTTTTTTTTCTGTCTTTTCTTTTTCTTTCTTTTCTTTTTTTTCAGTCTTTGCTTTCTTTTCTTTTCTTTCCTTTCTTTTCTTTCTGTCTTTTCTTTTTTTTCTGTCTTTTCTTTTTCTTTCTTTTCTTTCTTTCTGTTTTTGCTTCCTTTTCCTTGTCTTTTCTTTCTTTTATTTTTCTTTCTTTTCTTTCTTACTATCTTTGCTTTTCTTTCTTACTGTCTTTCTTTTCTTTTCTTTCTTTCTTTCTTTCTTTTCCATTTATTTTTTTCATTTTAACTCTTAATTTTTCTCTATTGCTTTTTTCTCCATTTTCTCTTTTTCTTTCTCTCTTAGACACTCTATCAAGCGTTTCTTTTCTCTTCATTCGCTTCTTTCTTTCTCCTTTCTTTCTTTTACATTTCTTTTTTATTATTTCTTTTTTCTTCTTTGTTCTTTCTCTTATATTGTCTATCAGTCGTCTTTTTTTCATTCGCTTCTTTCTTTTTTATTTCTTTTTCATTTTATTTCTTTCTCTATTCTTTTTCTCTCTTATGCATTGTATCAATCACTCTCTCTTCATTTGCTTGTTTCTTTGTTTCTCCATTACTTCTTTTTCTCTTTTTTATTTCTTTTTCATTGTATCTCTTGTTTTCTTTTCTTTATTACTTCTTTTTTTTCTTTTTCTTCTATTTTCTTTTTTTCTTTCTCATTTATACTCTCTGTCAATTTTCTCTTCTCTCCTCTGCTTGCTTCTTTCTTT